ACACTCCTCCTACCAGTCCAGTCTCCAGGAGACTGAACTGATGCTCTCTCTGACTGTAGTTCATTTTGACATAAAAGTGCACACATAACACCAAAGACACACCTAGGCAATTAGGTAAACTATGTGAGCCAGAGAGCAGATAAATTATGCTACATGCAAATTATACTACTGCTGATCATTTTGCTTTTCATTAAAATATCACAATATTTAAAATTTTTAAAAGAAAAACAATGGAATTTAAAGCCATTTCTCTTAGCTCCAAGATTCTCCATACCCATGTTTTCTGGATGAAATTTCACTATATCTTTTTAAACACTGAATAGTATATTTAAAGAGAACTCTAAATAATAAGGCCCCAAGATTGAGGGATTTTATGTTGAGAAGTTAAAGCAAAACATTCATCTATAAAAGGATCTAGGAATAAATTCAAATTGAGGGTAAAGTAAATACAATGATTTTTATAGAGACAAAATTACTTAAAATTGGATTATTATATCCCTTAAGGTAAAATATTCAGAAAAGTTAAAGAATTTCTAAAGGATATAATAAATAACAATAATAATAAGTAAACTGGTTTCTCTTAACAATAGGGGAGTTCTTTTTTCTATTTCTCTACTTCTAACTATTAAAATAAAGTGAAGCAACCACAAATTAAAACCTTTAACTGATTTGTCTTGGCACTAATAATTTGTCTTGGAACCTGTGACCAAAAATCTGATGTGTCAAATGCATTGGATTAAGCAATGCTTAACAGATTAATAGAACACTCCCCTTAGGGTATCTAGGTGGGTCGCAGAGGCATATTCTTTTAATCTACCAAAGCTCCCTGACCACTTGCGCTCTGGCATTGTTCCCTTGTTTTGCTTTCCGACCACCATAAAGTAAGCTTCTTTGCTTCCCCAAGCCCTTCTGTCATGACTTTTGTGCCTTGGAACCAGCCTCCATCATGTACTGAATTCTGGAAACTGGGCCAGTTAATCCTCCCCTCCTCTAGGTTGTGGGTGCTTAATATGTACTGTGTCTCAGTGATGAGAAAGCTGATTAACACATGTCACAAGTACTTGCACTGTTTGCTTACTGAGGCAAGTAAAGAATATAGATGTAAACAGATAAATATGCATATATACTACATTAAATGGGTCTGATTCTAAATTAGATGACTCAATTTTCATTAGTTTCCTTTTGCTTATTCATCTCATGTGAATATATACAATAATCTTCCCTTAATTCTATGTGCATGATAGTCTTTTCATAATTCTATTTATGGAGCTCAATAAACCAATAAAGTATATGATGGTTTGAAAATAATTCACTAAGGCCAGGCATGGTGGTGCATGCCTGTAATCCCAGCACTCAGGAGGCTGAGGCAGGAGGATCATTGTGAGTTCAAGACCAGCCTGGGCTGTGAAGTGAGCTCAAGCCCAGTCTGAACTGCATAGTGAGACCCTGTGTCAAAAAAAAAAAAAAAAAAATTCACTAAAGAAAAGATATTAAAAGAATTTTGCATGATTCCTCTTGTAGGTAAAGCATTCTACTACGATGACTGCAAAATTACAAATCACTTCTCTTTGAAATGGAGTGGAATTCTAGAGGCCACAGAATTTGCACTAAAAGCATTAAAGGACTTCAGCCATGTGGTGGCAAGAACCTTCAGAAGTAACCCCGGTTCCCAGGCAAAGCTTCCATGTGCACTTAGAAGAAAACAAGAAGCCTGGCAGCAGGCAGAGTGACGGCATCTGCTGTCATCGTGTTTTCATTCCAGTGGGTGTGGAGATCCCAATGGAAGCTCACTGCAGAGATCTGGGTAGGTAGTGACAGACAAAAATTGTGCATGCTTGTGTCTGGTGGTGTGAGCAACTGATTTGAAAGTAACAATATGCAATGGAATTATCATGATGAATTCCTACCATCTTGTCTAGTGAAACTCTGTATTATCTCTACTGTTTTATCAAATAATTATTTTCTTATTCCCTATAAAGGCTTGAGCAATCTTTCATTCTTACATCTGGTAATCTGAGCAATGTAGTTGAGGATAGCGATATGCAATGTAACAACCACCATTGATTTATATTATTCTGTCTTGAGACCCTGTATCACTTTGAATGTTCTTGCTTTGATTTGTTTATGTTTGTGATACTGGTATGCTACTACTGTTCTATTTCTTTGTTTGTTTCTCATTTACTGCTCTCTTTAAAATTAAAAATAAAATTCTGCGGAGAACTATTTTTAAAATAACAGTTCAGGAAGTACACGCAAGGGAGACAGAATAATTCTTGATTATATATGTCCGTGAAACTTGAAAAATAGTCACAGTGATTTAGCTGAGTTAGTTTGTGTTTATAGTAAAGACACTGTGTTCAAATCTTTTACCCAGGACAGGATCAGCTTTGGGTCACTTATCTTATGGAAGTGAGTTCACTCACTCACCTTCAGCATTTGCAAATCTGCCAGAGAGTAATGTAACTGAGCCATTGCTTATGAAGCCTAAGTACTTGTGTTCACAGATAATCAAGAAATCCAGAGGTCTAGGCAACCCCAGGGACCTTGCAGATGAGGAAATGGAAGCCATTTAATTAAATGAATTGAACATTTTTTAAACTAGTAGGTTATGAATTCGAGGTACTAAATATTAACATGATAGTATTTATTCTAGTAATATATATGTTACTTTGAACAAAAATATCCATAATGCCACACATTAGAAATTGTATAGCAATAAAAAACCTATAAATACATGTAAACATTCAATTAATAAGAAAAGATATTTCCTATAGAGTATCACAAAAAAATAAATGTTCACACAGGTGATTTCAAATGAGAACTCATTAATTCCATCCAAAAAAGTCTGAATTTCAATTCATTTCTAGCACAGCATAAAATAAGACCCTGATTAATATTTATAGGCATATGATGTTGGAAAGAATCTCAGAAACAGCAAATGGCCCTTCACATTTGGACATGTGAGTTTGGAAGCCAGCAAGAATGTCCTATAGCTGTATCTTACCATTTTATTCCCTGGGATCAAGGGACATTGCAGCTGACATAAAAAGAAAATACACCTACATAAGAACATGAGTGAATCCCCAGTAATTCTTCCATTAAGGAATCATTCCATAAAATGAACCCATTTCCTGAGAGACATTCCCAGCCTTAGATCTCATTCAAACCAAAGCCCAAGATTGGAATCAATAAGTCTCCACTTGTTTCTCAGTCCACCAGACTCCACAGATCCACTGTGAAGACTATACCCAATCCACTTCATACTCAGCTCTCACTCTCTCCACACCCCCTTACTCACTACTGTAGCTAGCACTGGGATGATGGATGGGTGCATGGATGAAGGGAAAAGCACATAAAAATTTCTTCTTTGTTTCACTAAGGTTCATCAGACTTATTCCAGTAGCAGGATAAAAACAGACTCTTCTACTTTTACTTCTTCTACTTTTTCTTCTTCTTTGTCTTGTTCTTTCCAGGACAAAATCTTTATCTATTCATGTAGAAATTTTGTGGTTATTTTTCAGAAGAAGTACACATGGCCAATAAATACATGTAAAAATGTCAACATCTCAGGCCCTTAAAGAAATGCAAATTAAAACAACACTATGATTCCATCTTACTTCCAGAGAGAATGGAGAAGTCAAGAAGTCAAACAATAACAAGAAGTCAAATAATAAAAAACGCTGGCAAGACTGTGGGGAAAAGAAACTGTTCTCCACTGTTGGTGGGAATGTAAACTAGTATGACCACTATGGAAATCATAGAGATTCCTCAGAAAACTGAAACTAGAAATTCCACTTAACCCAGCTATTTACCTTCTAGATATCATCCCCAAAGAGTTAAAAACATCATAGTATCTTGATACATGCACAGCCATGTTTATAACAGCACAATTCATAACACCTAAATCTTGGAAGAAGTCTATATGTCTATCAATTAATGGGTGGATAAGAAACTGTGGTATGCACACACAGTGAAGTACTACTCTGCTATAAATATAACAAACAAATCATTTGTGGGAAAATGGGTGCACCTTGAGACCATAATGTTAAGAAAAATAAATCAGACACACAAGCTTAAATATCGCATGGCTTCTCTGATATGAGGAAACCAAAATATAAATAAAGAGCAAAATAAAAGATAGACAATAGGAAATGGGGACATAGGTCTTTTGCAAAAGATAAGGGGACTAAGAGATGGAGGGAAGGGGGTAAAGGAAAGGAAGGGGATTAAAAAAGATTTAAGACATGTGATGTACTTGTACCAACACACCACAAGTAATGTAATCACTATGTACTTATTAGTACAACCATGTACTAATAAGAATCAAGAAAAAAAAATCTGTCTGTAGTTGGCCAGTTTTTAATCATAGTAAGCAAAAATTATCATAAATCGAGTAGTATAACTCAGCTTCTGTGAATCCAGTGAAAAATTTCTCCACCCCAATTTTATTAGAAAAATTAGTATAGCGTAGATGTTGTCTTTGATGTTAGTGAGACTGTGTGTGCCTTTTATACTGAAAGGAATTAAGATCAGCATAAGGGCTAGAACTGATGTGTCATTCCGAAATGCTTCAAAGTTAAAACATACAAAAATCAAAACAAAACAACAACAAAAAAGAAAGGGACTTTAGATCTGAAAGCATAATTTAGGGAAGTCCTATGATGTATCTGCAAGTGAAGCACAGTTCTTTTCTAAAAGTGAGGCATGAGTTGTTCTACAGAGAAAGAAGAGATGTAGTTTTAACCCCATTTGCTTATGCTGATGAAAATGCACCCGTGGCCTGTGGGCTCACGTACTCTAATCAAAGTCATTCCAGCAACAATTACCTGGCAATTTCTTTCTTACTTCGCAAGAGACGTAGGAAAGGTATGCTTCAATTAGTGGGTTCCTACCAGTAGAATTTCTAAGCAACTGGCAATTAGGAGGTCATAGGTAGGAAGGAAAATTCCTTAGCCAACCCTCGGAGAGCTAATAAATCAAATGCAGTATGCACTACTCACGGCTCTGCCTGTAAACTCCTGTCCTCCGCCACGTAGTTAGAAGGGATGTAGCCCTGCAGTTGCTGGCCAGCGCTGTCTTCCCTTTTCTCCAAGTGTCTGGCCCACCACCAGCCCTCATGGGAAGAGTCCAGGACTTGGAGTTTGTCACCTGCACGGAAGCTCAGGTCCTCTGCGGTTCGAGCTTGGTAATCAAACAAAGCAACAAAGTACTGGCTGTGGCTTCTCTCTGGTTTCTGCTTCAGTGACTGTGGTGGTTCAGGGCCACAGTGGGCCCCTGGATTCTCGATCACCACCGAACTGTCAGTGTCCTGGTACACACAGGGGAGATAGGGCTGCAAGTACGCCCAGACCCTCAAACAAATATTGCCCATTGTGGCCTAGCCAAGTAGAAGGGGAGAGGGGCTTTCCTTTCCTCGTAATCTCTGCAGATCCACCTTTTTCTCCAGCACCAGACAATTTTGAATTCAGGTCCAGTTCACCATACTCTGGAGAGTATGCAAGTCCTGTAGACCTGGTTGCAGCAAGCTCTGCCTGGAAAGACTCACAGTGCCTCGCTGTCCGTGGCTGCAGCTGCTGCCCCAGAGCAGAATCCAGTGGAAAATGGGCAGCCGCTCAGTCAGAAGATACCTCTCTTCCTGTCTGCTAGGGAATTCCACAACAAAAATTTAAATTAAAAAAAAAAGGTAAGAGGCTTTATTTAGATAAGAAAACAGTGACTTTGTTCTGTGTTCCAAGAAAATGTTAGCAAGAAAAAAGATACTAACCCCAGGTGAAGTCTCCCACCTGTCCTATGTGCGCAGCTTTCCCACACTTCAGGCTGCTCTCCTCTCTCTCGTTCTGCCAGCCACCCTTTCTTTTTTGCTAATGAGTAACCAACCTGCAGAGGCTGTTGCCTTGCCCATCCTGGGCTCAGTTCAGACTGTAATAACTTCTCCTTACTTCCTGGTTTCTTTTCGTCTATGATCTAACTGAGATTCCAGTCCTTACCCCTCCTCTCCCACACCCAGAACAGACCAGCCCCCTTACCCTTACCAGGAACCAGACTCTTAAAGCAGCCGCCCAATCAGTACTTCTTTCGTTTCACCCTGGAGAAACAGGCTAGCCCAGGTAACTTTTTGCCGTGCAATGTTCCCAACACAAATTCAGAGCTGAAATTTCTTTTTTCTCCCAAAACTGTAGGCTTGTTTTGCAGCTGCTAGGGAAAACAAAAACCAGCCAAATGGACTATTTAAGTATTTATTGTCAGACACACTGTACTTAGGAAAGGATCATTGAGTCCCTACCTTCTTTTCCCTCCCCATCATCAGGAATAGATTTTAAGAACCTCACAGTAAATTCACAGTCTGGAAAAGTAAGAGAACAGCTGGCTAAAACACTAAGAACCTTAAACACTGTTTGTTTTTTTTTTCCGGAGAGACATTTACTTTCCCATTCTTCAGGTACTATTTCTGAAACACACACACACACACACACACACACACACACACACACACACACACGCAAGTGGAAGGGCTCTTTGGGACCTGCTGTGGGGATTCTTCCTGTTAAACTTTCATCTCCAGGGCTCACTAGCTCTTACTAACATGGTGGTGCTAATGGGCACAGCTCAGGGGCCAGAGACTGAAATCAGGACAGCCTCCAGGAGGCAGTCAGTAGCTTTGCTCTGCATACCTAGTTAAGGGAAGCTGTCTCACAACTGTGCTTCCTGGATCTCAAGAGCAACTGGGCAGTCAGTCTGCACAGACTGAAAAACTGATATGTGTACTGGTTAGTGAAGACCCAAAGCTTTTTATGATGTGTCTTTTGTTTTTGTAGAAGACATTTCTTTTCAAAACTTCCTTCTTAGAGCTTGGGGTTATAGCTCAATGGTATAGCACATGTTTAGCAACCTTGAGGCCCTGGGTATAAACACTAGCCTTCTCCTCCAATAGCCTCCCCCCTCCAACAAAATTTCTTTCCCTTTTAAAAGCAGTCTTTCCATGTTTTGTTAGAGCCTTTAACTAATTAATCCACTTCTTCAATGATCTTAAAGCTCTCTTCTTTGTCAAACTGCAAAGCATTTTTAGTAATGAGAATAGTCAAACTGAAGAAAAGGAATGAAAAAAACAGAGAACTATGGCCTTGGCCAGAGCTGCTATTGCCTTGTTCTAAGCCCAGGCACTGAGGGGTCATTTGGTGAGAACAAGGCCTCATGAGCTCCCAAGGGTCTCAGTTGTCCCAAGTCAGAGTAGAAGAAACAGTTTGCAAGAATAGAAAAATCAAAAGCTGAGTCAGATCTTTGTCATCGTTGCTTTGGAATTTTAATGACCTAAGTAGACTATATGTAGAAATCCACATTTTAGGCAAAAGAGAAAATTGTAACTGTGAAACACTGATAAACTATAAAGACTATTTAGTTCCAAACTCTAATTAATTTTAAAAGAGCAAGATTCTAACAGTGCTGCTAAGGAAAGACACAGATATTGAAGTCTTTCCTGAGACATCTACATGGTCTAGACATGAAAGGAGCTTTGGAAGCAGCTGAGATGTATTCAAACCCAGTAATAGAGTTTGAGACTTCAAAACTCTGAAGGTTCTCGACTCATCATGTCTTTACTGTGGTTATAACAAGGCATTCTGGAAAAAGACAAAACATCTGACATACACAGCAAAGTCACCAAGCAAGTGAATGAAATCGAAAAAGCATCCAACCATCTGAAGGTGTCAGGCATGCAATGGCCTGAGTAACAGAGCCAAAGGCAGGGATAGGGTTTCCTGTGGCACACTGAGAAAACCCTCCAGTCACCCGAGCTTGGAGCCGGCAGTGACCCTTCACTCATTCCGCGATTTCCTTCAGCTAATCAGTCATCACAGTCTGCTCAGTCTTCCTTTTCAGTTACTCTACAAACTTTTAAAGATAAATTTCATCTGAATGGGAGTGGGGCATTAAACAGAAAATAGAATATCTTCCCTAGATTATCCCACAGACCACCTACCTGATCCCCCTTCCTCCAGCTTGTTCCTATCTCCAGCCCATCTTGCATACCACAATGAGTGGTGCAGATGGCTGAGGTACTATGTAAGAGCACTAGTAAAAGTAACCCAGGTTGGGAGAGCTTTCTGCATGTCAGGCACAGTGCTAAAGTGTTACAAGTCGTACATCAATTAATTCTCATAAAACAAAAACAGTGCTAATGATAGCATATTTATTTTATTTCAGAGCTGCTGAGGCTGAGAGGTTAGCTATTTGCCTAAGGTCGCACGGCCACCAAGTGGTTGAGCCTCAAATAACACCTTGGAGTCAGTCTGACTTTCAAATCTGAAACTGTAAATCTTCAGCTTTACCACTCTCAAATGATCTGCCATTTTCCTACGTTAAATCCTTCAAGACGTGAGTCCGAGCCCTGTTACGGGGTTCCTCTGTCTCGAGAACACTGCTCTTTGCTCAGCCTGTCTGCACGAGAACAGGGCGCAGGAGTCGCGCCTGCTCAGAGCTCCTACAAACAGAGAGGGACGCTTGCTTACTGCAGGCAAAAGGCACACGAGGTTCTCTCCGTTTGCAGCTGCAACACTGGTGTCATTCCCGATCAGAAACTACTTCCAACGATAGTATTTCTCTGAAATAAGAAAAATCTCAAAATCTTTTCCCTCCATGATTAAAAGTATGACATAAACACATGGCAAATACCACTGATGGCATTTTAAGACAAAGCTGAAAATTTTATTCTTCATATAAAATAAGCAACAGTGTCTCCTATTTATGAACACTGAAGAGAACTCTCACAAATGGAAGCTAGAGGAACTAACTTTAGTTCACCTCGTCTTGTAGCAAGCGGTAGTCACCACACCTGGCAACGGGAGTCTGTGGGAGGAGGAGAAAGCCGACAAGCCAAACCCGAGGTGACCAGCGGCCAGGCCAGGGACAGTCACACCTGGCCGCTGTGGCGGCGGCGGCTGCGAGAACGCAACCACACTCGGCGAGCGTCCTCCCGACTGAGCAGTCCCTTTACACAACATCCACGGGTCCCGCGGAGTCTTACACAGCACGAATTATCCTACGAGCTCACGAATCAATCAGAAATGTACAATCCTCATCTTAGTAACACTTTTCAGCCTTGAAATTGTCTCAAGAGGCCTAACTCAGTGTAGTAAACTGTCACACCAAAATAAATTTTACTGAGATATAATACTGTTAACATTAAACAGTGAATCCTACTTAAAATACAAAAGGGGCTGCACTTTTTAAAAATAAATTCAGGCATCTCTTTTCTAGTCAATACTTACACTTTTTAAAATCAGAGACACTGAGGATTTACTAACAGTCAACTAACAGCTCACCCTACTCGACGGACACTAACTGGAAGGACAGCTCCGAGGCCTGCAGTCAGCTGATCTCTCCGGCAGCATCAGTCAGTGTGCAACGGAAGCCACAGGTGCTGGGCTGCTGCAGAGAGCAGGAGCACACGCAGTCCCTGCGGCCGGTGCTGTGCTCTAGGTTCGGTTTCTCAGCCATCTACCATACCTGCTGTGTACACAATGTCCGTGATGTGAGATACGTTCACTGTGAAAGGAATGCGAAGCCACTGGCTGGCTTCTGCCTTCTGAGTATCATTTTTGCCTCCTGTTTTGTAAAGGGATTGAGTCTGTTTTGTAATAGGGTTTACAGCTAGAATTTTGAATGCCAAAGCTCTATGTATTAAACTAAGAAAGATTTTCACTGTTAATGCCTAGTATTTTTTCATTGGACTATTGTTTGTTGATATTGAAATTTGTATTTACAGCACAATAACTTTTTTTATTTTAAAAATAAAAGAAGGAAAACATTAACAATCAGACAACCATTTACAAAACAGCAAAAGAACAATATAAACAATACAGAGTTACAAAGTGGTAGGAAATTAACAATGCTTACTGTAGTACATATTTATATCTTCAAAGTGGTATCTCAGGAAAACAAATAGAGACATGCAATATTGAGCA